TCCATTATCCGTGTACAACCCCTTAACCCTACATCTCAACCCTTAACGAAACCAAGCCAAAAGCCTTCGCTTTAGCCTTCTCCTCCTTTGGCTTTGCAGCGGAAGCCTCCCATCTTCCAAGCTGCCCCAAAGCCCACAGCAAAAAGGCTTCCCACTTCCACACAGTCTACGGTGAAGGGCTTTTGGATTTCAGGTTTGGGGTTTAGGGTGAAGGGTTTATGGCTTTGGGTTCGGGGTTAAGCAGTGCTACCAACATGAAGCTTACAGCTATGACTCCTCCCTGTCAGGTTCCTTGGGCCGCTACCATCATGAACTAGCGCTGGTTTGTTGTATGTTGATTATACATGGCACTTGAGTTACAGAGAGCAGCGCCCGGCCATAATCCTTCGCCTAAGTTCTCCATAGCGGCGCCCGAAACTTTGGAAACCAAGTAGCCCCTCATTCAGCGGGGCTCAACGAGGCCCAGTTCAGGGTACGGTTTTGAGCCCATGCCACTTAAGCAAGACCTCACACACCCCAAGTCCTGGTGCTGACCACCCACAAATGTCGCCGCCGACTCCCGCAAAAAAGTGCTACTCAGCCCTCACTTCGTAAACCTACTTGTTTATGAACATGGGGGTGATGACAAACATGCGAAAGTCACCATGGCTGTTGGGACGAAAATCCATTATAGTAGCTCCTAAACCCTACACCCTATATAACCCATTATAATAGTCCATGTTCTTTTCCATTATCCCTTAAATTAATGACCCCCAATATTCTGTAATAGTTTCCATTTTTCCATTGTCCGTAAATAACCCCAAATATTCTATAATAGTTTCCATTTTTCCATTATCCCTCAATAACCCCCAATATTCTATAACAGTTTCCATTTTCTGTTCCATTATTCCTATATAACTTCAATAAAATCCTAATGACTACCAGCCCTCCCGGCCTCAGCCTTGGCCAAGGCCTTGGCGTCGGCCTCCGCCTTCTCTTCCTCGTCCAAGTCTCCCTCCATGGCTTTTAACGCGCTATCCAGTGCCGGGCCCATCTTTGAGGCCACCTGAAAGACCCGACAGTGTAAACACTGGCAACACGTTCACAACTGGTTAGAACTGGTTAGAATGACAGTGGCAAACATGCTAGCACCATAGCACTGCCGATGCTGTTGGTGATGCTGATGCCAGCCGTAGAGAAAATGTTGACGACAATGACGACAATGACGATGATTATCATGATCATGATGATGACGAGGTCAGTAGCAAAACACAATAGCGCTTGTAGTTAGAGGAGTGGTAATACATAGTGGCAACAGCACTATACGTAAGATGTGGCTGCGACCGACAAGTAAGAGGGCAAACGGCACGAGTGAGTAGAAAGATGGCGGAGTCTCGTGCGGAAAGCCTCATCGGAGCTCCATGCGCGCTCCTCCGCCCCGAAACTGAATCTATATTGCTTCCACGGCCATGTCTTGTTGGAGTCATCTCGCATTTCTAACATTCCACATGCCTGTGGAAGATTCATGCAGGACCCTGAGATTGAAACCATGCAGTCTAGCTTCTAGACCCCACCTCTACCCCAAAAGCTTTTCTAGACTAGACACGGCCTTCGTCACCACCGATTTCCCCCAAACCCCGCACCAGGTTTGGCCCGACTGCCTGCGCACCAACCACAGCGCCGATGGGGCCACCGAGCATGCCGCCCACCACGGCGCCGCTGACCTTGCCATGGCACACAAGTATTATAATGGTGCGGGCCCCTTAAATGCACCCAAGCCAACCACACCATAAGGACCCTAAACAACGGCCATGAGCTTGGGTAACACCAACTTGATCGTAGCAACGGAAGCTTCGTAATCTCGGTTCATCAAGACTATGGGAGCATCGGAAACAACGCTTCAGGCGCACTCAAAGGAGAGCTGTGGACAACCCCCATGAAGCAGGGGCAGGGTTCCCCCAAACAAGGCACATTAAAGTTGAGAGATTCCGACAGATAGGTGCTGATGCGAAGGACCACTCACATCACAGCATCAGAACGTCAATGCTGAATGCCGGTACTGCAACGGCCTCACAACCTCGCAATGTGTGAAGTACGCTAGCTACCATGGAAGTAGGATCATTGTGGAATTGCATTCCTCGTCTACATACACAAAGCACGCCTGCACACTCATGAGCCATAACATCCAAAGTCTTTACCCCTGATCTTTAGCAGGTACTGTACAATTTGCAGCCTTCGGGGCCCCAAGTAGGCATTATTTGATGGCTTCCAGAAGAGTAGGGCTCCCATTATGCAACCCCCCGAATTCTATAAGCCTTACTATGGGACACCTACTTTTTGGAAGCCATCATGTGCGACTTAGAGCCCAGGAGTATCCTCGGTGTCGCGCCCCAGCTGTTCCTTGAGCCTTCTTCTCCTCGATCCATTTCTTGACTCCGTCGAGGCCTTTGTGCTTCTTCATTCAGACGTAAACTACAATAAAGGAGGATATATAGGTTCTAGAGGAGGGGGAGTAGGGTTTACGGACTGAGGCTTATAGGGCTTTCTCAAAGCCGGGGATTCCAGGGATTTTCAGAAATTATGGGTGGATTTCAGGGTCGCTGTAACGGAATAATTCGGTGGACTGACAAGTGATCCCCTTCCTGCGCTTACCTTGCTTTCGAATGCATGTGAGCTGCAGTCAATATCATTCAGGGTAATTAGAAGAATTTCCGTTCCCAATTTAAGGCCATTTTGGTACTATTCCCTGAATCAACCACCGTTTAGGGTGAGGTCGGGTGTGGTCGCTTTAGCTTTAACCTGCCCTTGATAGTTCCTACATAATTTAAAGGACCAGGGTTCCCTGTTTGGGAGTACATAATGGACCATACTAAACTACAAGAGGGACCCCTGTGCCACTGTTAAGGGTCCCTTGATAAGGCAATTGTAGACAGTAGCTTGTGTGTGTCAAAGTGGGACAATCTTGGGACTCTAGGGATATGCTGGATTACGAGGGATGGTAGGGAAGATGCCCAGCTCCAAGCAAAACATTGGCAATGCGCTGACTAATCTAAACCCTAAGCGCGAAGCCCTACACCTAGCGCAAATCCATAACCTAAGCTCCCAACCTCTGCTCTGTTTGTGGATGCCCGCAAATTTGAAGGTTATCTCAAGACAACAAATTCGATCACAAATCTATAGAGCCGAAAGCAACCTAAAACCCGAAGTCCCTAGCCCTGAACCTTCATGACCCCCAGTTTTGCAAGCCTGGCTTGTCTTGGCCTTCCGCGCGACGCCTGCAAACAGCGGGTGTTCAAACCCGGCGCAAACAATGCCTTTCCAATCTCCCCAGAAAGGAGATGTAAATGGACTACATCCGCGCTATAGTCTAAACCTCCCAGTATCCCCCTTAGTAATCCTTATTGTAGGATCCCCATCTATAGTCCCCTGTGTAGCCCTTTAAGCAATCTAGACTATATAGCTCAATTCTAGGAAATAGCGTGTTGGCGGATCCCTGCAGCTCATGATTAGACGTTTGTTTGATTGACTTGTGGCCCCGGGATCTTCTCAGGACTGCAATATGATATAGTAGAATATAGTATGATACAGTGAAATATAATAGAGTAGAATATAGCAAAAAAAAGTGAAATATAATGTACTATAGTAGAATATAGTATAATATAGTAAAATCTAGTATAAGTCAAGATGCTCCTACGCGAAGACTAGGTTAGATTTGGTCGGGGCCCCCTCGAAATGGGATTGCTGATTTTCGGACATGGCTGCGGCGTAGGCCGGCTGAAGGTTAATTATGGGAAGCAGATATCGCAAAGGCAGGACTCTATCCTCACTGGAGCCACTTCACAATGTAGGGTCAAGGCGATGAATTCAAGGCCGAAGATTCTACCGGGACTCTGTTGATCAAGGCCGCCGCCGCAGGGTTTGAACACAAGCAGATGTTGACAGTAGTTCAGGAAATGCCATCAGGGATCTGGGAAGATCCATAGAACTTTGGCTGTGTTATCCAGGAGACCCTAACTGCTCATGAGCCTTGTGCGTGTGCGCAGCGCCAGTGCTGGCGCAAAGCCGCCTGACTGCCAAGTAAAAGCGCTCTAGCAACAGTCGGTTGGCTGTATATGCGGGATTGGGTCACCATAAGCTCCTCCGTCCCCAACATGGAGCAGAATGAGTGGGGGTGAAAAGTCGGGTGCAGCTAAGCAGAATATTCTTCAGTTCTCACCCTGGCTGGCACTGGAAAGGCCGCAAAGAAAATTGGCCCAAGGAGCTTTCCTAAAGCATGTCAAGCGTCAGAATTGTGTAGGCATGTTTGTGAGAAGATTCCTCAGACACCTAAACGAGAAAATATTCGCTGCCTCACAAACGATATAAATACTTCTAGCGCAACCTGCTATGAACCCTTGCAATGTGTGGCAGGGGTATGGATTGAAAGCTGTTTAATTACCAGCTCGAAGAGCTTTGTTGTCAGTTGTATTCAAAATCATCCAAACTCGCAGTCGACACAGGGTAAGACTATTCGACAAGATCATTCCTCCAGACCCCGCACGCACAGAATTTTTCGCCGCAAGCCTATAGTACCGCCCCCCCCACCCCCAAGTTGAACAGGAACAAAGCCCCCATCTCTAACCCCTTGCCGCGATATCTCAATCCCAAAGCCCAACTCGAGCTACTTGCAGTTGAGACACGTCACAGAACCACTCTTGACAGATTGGGCCGAGCAGGGGGGTTAGCATAGTGGATGCTTTAAGAATGAACTATCACAGCTCTAAAGCCGCGGAGAGGCGCCTGACTTTCCCCTGACCCAAAGCCCAGACCTCAAAGATACACCGCAACAATAGATTTCCGCATAAGCTAGAGCCTGAACCAACGTCATGGCTTCTCCTAAAAACCACTCCCCATACTACCCAACCCGTAGGCTCTCCCTTGCCCGAACCAAGCCTAAATCAGCCTTAACAAGGGGGAACCCCAGAAAGGTGGTAGATATTGGCCGGGGGAAGGGAATCCATAGCTTGAAGCCCTAATTTAAGGGGCAGCCCAGCTGCAGGCGGCAGCGGTACCAGGCGCCAGGTCTGCGTGCCAAATTCGGCGTGGCCTTGGCTTTTCGGGGGCTCGAGCCTTTCTTCAGAGAGCTTCAAAATATGCAATTTTGTGGATGGATCCCGCTCATGCAAAGGGAGTACTGGCTTGGCTCAAAGGATTTCCAGTGGGGCCACATATAGAATCTGCCCAGTAGGCGTTGATAGCGTTCCCATGCGTTGCCCAGTAGTTTACAGGTCGCTCGGGGTTCATAGGCGTTTCGATTCCGATGCAAAAAACTGGACCTGGCCCAGAGGCCTCGTTCGCACACACTGCGCCAGCGCTGGCGTCGGCGTGCCTTGCATAATCACAGCAAGCTAGTAGCAGTAAGCGCAAGAGTAATACGTCACGAACGTAACAGCAGCAATAGCAATTGAAATTATAGTGTGTCGTCGTCGCCGCCACAGCCGTGCTCGTCGTCGGGTTGTGGTCGTGGCGGTGGTGGTGGCTGGCGGCAGTGAAGTAGAAGTAGTAGAAGTAGAAGTAGAAGTAGTAGTAGTAGTAGTAGCAGTAGTAGTAGTAGTAGTAGCAGCAGCAGCAGCAGTAGCAGCAGTAGTAGTAGCAGTAGTAATAGGAGCAGCAGCAGCAGCCGTCGTTGTACGCTATAAGCCACGCCACAACGCTATTGAGATTCTTACGCACCATATTGCCAAATAACTACCCACTTAGCACTGGTTGTAATAGTCTTGCTGCTTTGAGACCACCCTCAACCCTAAGCCCATCCAAACCACAATCGGGCCCCAAGGTAGACTTGGACCGATATGTACTATAACCCTCGTTCTACAAGTAGGGAATCCCAAGAGGGGACCCCCCCCATTCATTATTGCGAAAACTCCAACAAATCTTGTGTTGAATGGGTAGGTTTCATACCACGGCGCCTGGACCGCAGGTTGAGGTTCGCATAAACCTTCGTGGAGACTTGATGTCAGGTAGTGATATGGGGTTTACACT